AGCCCTCTAAGTCTAGATTCTACAGCCCACTGATGGTGTATGTTTAAGGAATATCAAAGCCTGTCAATGGATTGAAAATGCTGTGAAAATTATCAAAGTAGACTTGGAATTGTTTCAGTCTGCTGCTGGGATTTCTACTACAGATGCAAGAAGAATGTGTCTTCGTACTTTCTGCCTGTCTAATTGTGGCAGCCATGACTGAATGGGAGCATACAGAGGAAGAGCATAGTAGTACCGGGGGAAAATGGAGAGAAAATTTTTGCAACTCAGAAATAACTTTGTAAAAAGTGAAGAGCCTATTTTACTCTTTTAAAAAAATTCTAAAATTTGAGTTTTAACTAAATTAAAGCTTCCTGATCATTTTCTCAGTTTAACAATGACAAATAAGACAATTTGAATTTCCAGCTGGAGTATTCCATTTGCAACACTGAATGATACAAAAACATGATTTATTTAAAAGAAATATTAGAAGAGAGACTTTAGGGGAAATTCAGCAAATTTATCAAATTATAATATTTGGGCAATATTAGGGGATTACTTTGGTAAGCCAAGTCTCCACTTTGAGGAATTAGTTACAATAAAGAATTTTGAAATATTTGTGGCTCATGGTTCAGAATAGGATTTAAACAGTTAGGGAACAAGCTATTTAGAAAGTTTTGTGCAACTTGCTGGGATTAATCAGATAACCTGTTGGAGTTTTGACTCCAGATCTTGACTTTACAGAGTTCTGAAGTGAACTCCATGGCATTCTAAAATCTGGTAGGATTGTCTTGCCCCATCTTTGGTGAAATGAGCAGCAAGGACAAGGCACATGTCCGAATTTGCCTAATCTCTGATAGTCCATTTTAAGTTACTTACATATAGTAAAGAAGAGTTAATGTAATCATTTTCTGTGTTACTGTTCCCAGTTAAAGAAAAGATAGGAACTTATTCTAGCCACTAGAAAGAGGCTGAAATGTCCATCATTTTGATTTTGTCTACTCTTCTAGATGCCTGACAAAAATTATATGCCAAGCAAACTCTTTTAGTAGCACTGCCCTTTCTTCATCCCCACTTTCATCCCTGGGTCACAAGAGCTCAAGGGCTCTCAAGCCTTGTATTCAGCAAGGTGTTAGTAAATCTGCATAGAGTTTGTCTCTGCTGTTCTACCAACCTATCAATCAAATGTCCTTACCATGTGAGATGGAGTACACTAAGTACTGCAAAACTCCATCCCTTTCCCTCAAGGATCTTATGATCTCACTGGAGAGACAAGAACCATATACTAAAAGATAACTGACAGTATAGGGAAATGGGAAACCATTTCCTCTGGGTAACCTTTGCTCGCTCCTCCACCACTGGCTAGGAGGCCCTTTGGTGTGTTCCTGTGGCACCTCTGCGAAGCCTGCCTTGGTGGTAAGCATACTCTTTGATTGTTTGCTTAAGGATCTTAAAGCATGAGTTTTAGGTAGCCAGACACTGTTTATCCTATTAACTGTTGAATATCTAGTACCTATCCCATGATAGATGTTTAATACATATTTTTAATGTATAACTAAAATGAGTAATGCAGACAATAAATGTGACAGGAGTTCTACATCTGGGAAGACTAGAAAATTTCACCATGAAGAAGCTGGGACTTGAGCTAAGCCCTAAATGGGAAGGACATAGAAAGGAGAGGTCCTGACAGTTGTAGGGACAGTCCATGTAGATGGAAAGGCAAGAGTGAGGCCTAGAATTAGGAAAAGGTTAGGTGGATCCCAGGGTGAGTGAGCAGAAATTTCCCATGGGGATGCAATGATAAAGAATTTTGAAGAAGTAGATTAGGCACATTCATATCCACCCTGCTGTCCTATGTCTACATATGGGAACTTCTATTTCTAGAGTAAACGACTTTTGTAGTTAGTGTGAAGGGAACATGAATAGCAGGCAAATTTCTCCTCCCTATTTTATCATTTAATTTCTATATCCTCCATGCATATGTAAACACAAATAAATTTACACATTCTAATAAATCATTACATTTATTATATAGTAGGGAGCGTTGCCAGGAAACCAGTTGTCAAGCAAAGCTATATTTTGAAGAGTGGGAGGTGTATAATTATCTTTAAATACTTTCTCTGGATAGTAATTACCCCCCCACACCCCAGCCCAAATCCATGTGACTCCCCTGAATGGATGAGCACAGGAACAGCACATTTAACTGCCACTACCTTCTCTGACAGCCACTCCTTCAGCGGGTCAGGCAGTTCTAGACCCATCGGATAGGCCTGACCATGTGGTATCCTGTATCCCAAACTTGGGAAAAGAGGAGCTTAACCAAGTTCTCAGTACTAAACTGATTCCAACTCCATTTCTACATACTGTAAATAAATGCAAACTTGATTCTTTGGTCTCTGAATAACAATTATCAGTGATTTCTGTAACATAAAATTACATCTATTTAAAATACTCTTTGAAACTACAATGTTAGCTATTTAAGATCAGATAGAGGTTTGTCCTCAAAATTCATTTTTCAGGGGATAAAAATGCACCAAATTTCTCTACAGTATTAATAACCACGATAACAGGAAAGAAGCAGTGTCCTGCCCTGGCAGGATAAGAGCTGGCAAACTCCAGAGGAGCCCTAAGGACCACCAAGAACCCCTTGTCCCACTCCTTTGCCCCTCTCTTCACCCTCCCTCATCTTCATTCTTACCCACGGTGGTATGTCTGGGGGGATATAAGCCTCCCTACGTGCATTTAGAACACTTAATTTTCTGACCCTGATGCATTTCTTCTCTACGTAGTGAATTGCCCCCAAGTAGCAGCTAAGTATACCCTACAAAGAGATAGCGTGCACTGGAGATAGTATTCAAGTACCCACGATGAGGTAGGTAGGTAGGTAGGTAGGTAGGTAGGGTCAAATCAGAACACTATGTGATTAATTCTTTCTTCCCTCCCTGTTCTGAAAGCCAAAAACTAAGTTCTCTCTACAGTTCTGAGGAAACAATTCTCTTCTTAAATGCTCTTCTCACTTTTCTAGTCTCCTAATAGATTTCAACAAAGATTTGGTAACAAGATTTTCCACAGACACTAGGTAGAAAATACAGAATGAAAACATAGATGAAGTCAAGCTATCTGGAAAGTCAGTTTGGGGGTGGGTGGAGGAGTCCATAGCAGCAGGGATCTGCAGTTCTGGAAACATAGAATACAGATATGAATACAGATATTCATGGACTATTACTCCAAGATGCTTCTTTGTCCCTCCCCTGCCTTCTTTATTACCCACACAGGGGCACTGCCTTCTGACTACCTGCTGGGTCTACATACATGACCTACGAGCACCTCAAACCTATTTCCTGAGCTGAGTGCCCCTACTTTCCCCTAGTAGCAGCCTCCCTGCCCAGAGCACTGCTTCTCCTTGTCTGTACCTATATTGGTTAGAGGTGTCACTCTTCCAAAATACTCCAGCCAGAAGTTTTGGCTATCCCTTCCATACCTTTCTCTCTTACCTTGCATATCCAGTCAGGCTCAATGTCCTATTGATTCTGCCTCCAAAACTGTGGAGTGTCAACTCAGTGTTCTCTTTTCCATTAATAAAGCTACTGTCTTCATCATCTATAGCCCAGATGGCCAAAAGAGCATTTCTCATACTACCTCTGACCTAGAAGTTGTTTGGTTGTTTGTTTGGTTTTCTAAAATCAAATCCCATCATTTTCCCTCTGGAAATCCTTAGGATGGCCTATGTAAGTCTCCCTCCCAAGCACCTCTCCACCACCCCCTTCCTTCTTCTCTCCTTTGCTGCTACCATCAGCATTTATTAAATGTTTGGTCAGTGGAATTACCAAACATAGCTATGTGTTTTCTCTGTATCTAATGAGGATGAAATTAGGAACACGCTATAAACTGCTCCACCATAGAACTTAAAAATGTAAGTGACTCATTGGGATCATCGAGCTTAATGGTTCTCAACCATGGTTATAGATTATAACCACTTGGAGAGCTCTAAAAAATACCCAGCCCCTAGAGAATCAGATTTAGTTGATTGGAATTGGAGCCTGGGTACTAGTGGGGGGTTATGATTATTTTTAAGCTTCCCCAGGTAATTTTATGTACACCCAGGTTTGAGAATCATTGACAGAAGTCCCTAACCAAGAGACCAAAGGAATATTATAAGAACCATGGCTAATCTTCCAGGGGGCCATGTGCTGCTGCATGAACTTCTGTGTAAAGATGTGTGTGTATGTGTTTGTGCACGTGTGTGCACGTGCTCTCTTTTCTCAACAGAGGATCTAAACATTCATCAGAATCTCAAAACTTTCCATAACCCCATAAAGGCAAAGAACCTCTGATCCAGATTCACCCTCTTACACTTTACAGATGAGGCAGGATCTGGGCAAGAGACTGGGCTTAGGGGAAAATCAAACCTGCTCTGCCACTCTGTGATATCAGTCAAGGTACTCAACCTCCGTGGCCCTTAGTTTACCCCTCCTCAAAATCAGGATAACACCTGCTTTTCAGGGTTATTTAAAGAATTAAAGAGAAGGCATGGGAAGTGTCTAATATAGTAACAGGCATGGATGATATTTCATTAATGGTAAACATTACTAATCCTATTCCTACCATCACTACTAAAGATAGTCTTAATACTTACGATACAATTTTGAATAATGCTGTTATTATAAGATAAAAATATATTTATGCCAGATGCATTATATGGTGTGTATATATATATATATATCATATATATATCCATATATATGAATTTTTATAATCTGCACAACAACCCTGTGAGCTTGGCCCTATTCCTGTTTTACAAATGGGAGAACCAAAGCTTACAAGGGAAGAGGGGCATACCCAAGGCCACACAAGTGACAGAGTCTGCTTAACTTGACAGGAAGCTTATCTCTTTGCTACCAGATTGTCCTGCTCTGGTGAGGCCAAGTTCATTAAGGGAAGAAAGGAAGCCACTATGGTACCTTTCGGATTGGAAGAATATGAATTTTATCCCCATCCTTCTCTCCTTGTTCCTTTTCCAGCCGCTACTGGCGCCGGTGGAATCGGTTCTGCAGAAGAAAGTGTCGTGCTGCAGTCAAGTCTAATGTCTTCTACTGGCTTGTGATCTTCCTGGTGTTCCTCAACACACTCACCATCGCCTCAGAACATTATAACCAGCCCCACTGGCTCACGGAGGTCCAAGGTGAGAGGCAGCCTCTGGCACTATCCTGCTTTACTCTTGTTAACTTAGCCCTGAATCCCAGGGAGGGAATAGTCACAGGCACAAGGTTGATGGGAAAGCTGCCAGTGGCTGTGGCTCTTGGCAGGCACCATGCTAGAGACACCAAGGGCCTGACAGCTTGCAAGCCCCATAGTAAAATTCACAACCTCATTATAAACAGATGTGGCTCACCTGGCTAGGCCCCCACCATCTGCCTACCCCAACAGTCACGGTTGGGCCCAGGTGACAAGGACGCATGCTGCTCCTTATTTGGCTATCTCAGACCCTTGGCTGCCAACTTTCCAGAATGGATTTTCAATACAATAGCCTGCAGGTGGGCCTGCCAGAACGTGTGAGGATGAGGTGAGCATGAAGCCAGGAAAGAGTGGCCTGAGCACGAGGAGCTGTCCTCAATGGGCAGTTAGTACCCACCACCCTTCCCTGGACCCCTAGAAGAGGACCTCCCTAGCCAGTGCCTCAGGTCCAAAACCAGGGAGTCAGGCAGACACAGGGGCTGCATTCCAGAACCCTGGGAGGTAGGCAATCTCCCAGTGTAGAGGGCAGGACTGTAGAGAGTGGCCTGGCTCCCCCTTTTGGCTGATTGGCTTAGGCAGATTGCTTACCTCTCAGAACCTCACTTCTCATCTCTGAAAAGCTGCTGGGAGGAGTCAAGAAGATCAGCACACAAAGCCTTTGATGCATAGTAGATCCTCGATACATGTTTACTGTGATTATTACTAGATACCCCTTTCTTGTTGCTTTAGCCCCAATTATTCTGTTCTGGCAGCAACATAACAGGAGAGATGTCCCGGCTGGGAGGGAAGCATCTGGGCTTTTTCTCCAGTGGTGATAATTAGTGTTTTCTTTCTCCTCCTCCCCCTTCTCCCTTCTCTCACATACGTGTTGGGATCCTGCCCCGTCTCTTGAACCCACCAGACACAGCCAACAAAGCACTACTGGCCCTTTTCACTGCAGAGATGCTGCTCAAGATGTACAGCCTGGGCCTTCAGGCCTACTTTGTGTCCCTCTTCAACCGCTTTGACTGCTTCATCGTGTGTGGGGGAATCCTGGAAACCATCCTGGTGGAGACCAAGATCATGTCTCCCTTAGGCATCTCTGTGCTGAGATGTGTCCGGCTACTGCGGATATTTAAAATCACAAGGTATTTGATTTCTCACTTCCCTTGGGACCTGGAACTCAGGTGGAAGTTCTTCCAGAAGTCAAGGGAGGCAGAAAGGCCTGGGTAGGAGAGTAGCTGCTGTTTCTTAAGGGTTCTATCCTTGGCTCATATATGATGGAGGGGAATTTTTCTTCATTTAGCTGACATATCATTAGAAGTACCTTTGATTGGCAGAAAAGGACAAATATCATATGTTTGCATGCATAGGAGGATTGGGAGGAACTTAACAGAGGACCATGGGGGAGAAGAAGGGGAGAAATGGTGGGGGAAAGGGAGAGAGGCAAACCATGAGAGACTTTTGAATGCTGAGAACAAACTGAGGACTCATGGGTGTGGGGGGGAGGAGGGAGATGGGCATGGAGCAGGGCACTTGTGGAGATGAGCACTGGATGTTATATGTAAGTTGGTTTCCATATAACACCCAGTGTTCATCCCTACAAGCGCCCTCCTCCATGCCCATCACCCCCCTTTCCCTTCTCCTCACCCCCATCAGCCCTCAGTTTGTTCTCAGCATTCAAGAGTCTCTCATGGTTTGCCTCCCTCCCTCTCCCCAACTATTTTTCCCCTTCTTCTCCCCCACGGCCCTCCGTTAAGTTCCTCCTAATCCTGCTATACGTGCAAACATATAGTATCTGTCCTTCTCTGCCTGACTTATTTCACTCAGCATAATACCCTCAAGTTCCATCCATGTTGCTACACATGGCCAGATTTCATTCTTTCTCATTGCCATGTAGTATTCCATTGTATAGATAAGCCACACCTTCTTGATCCATTCGTCAGTTGATGGACACTTAAGCTCTTTCCATGTTTTGGCTATTGTTGAGAGTCTTGCTATGAACTCAGAATTAGACCCACAAATGTATGGCCAACTAATCTTTGACAAAGCAGGAAAGAGTATCCAATGGAAAAAATATAGCCTCTTTAATAGATGGTGCTGTCCCTTTTTTTAAATGTTATTGTTTTTGAGAGAGACAGAGCGTGAGCAGGGGGAGGAGCAGTGAGAAAGGAAGACACAGAATCTGAAGCAGGGTCCAGACTGAGCTGTCAATACAGAGCCTGACATGGGGCTCAGACCCACAAATGTGAGATCATGACCTGAGCCAAATCGGATGCTCAATTGACTGAGGCACCCAAGCACCTCACCTTCTGTCCTTTGCTTCGACAGCCTTAGGACTGCCTTCCTAAGGCAGGAAGGACTTAGGGTCATTAGGTGGCTTTCAGGATTGAGCCATCATGTTTGAATCAAGGCAGGGAGAAAAGAAAGGGCAAGGGACCAAGGCAGACACCCATCCTGGCTCAGTCGGCCCTTCCAGAGCTCTTTGAGAGATCTCACCAAAGGCTCTGCTCTCATGGCCATCCCAGCTTTTCGAGAGACTGAGCAATGTCGTCTTTTTGCTGTGCGTGTGATGCCGAAAATGCGGTCCAGATTCTTTAACTGAGGAAGGATGATGGCTATTGTGGCACAAATGGCTTTCACCCCTCCTTCTGCACATTCACCCCCTCTCTGTCTGCCTGTCCATCCACCCGCCCAAAGACTACAGTCTCCCAAGCTCTCTGGGTCAGGCAGTGATTCTCCTGAAGAGGAGGCAGGGACAGGGGCATGGGGACAGGCAGCATGCTCTAGTACAGTCATTTCAACTGTGTTGTGACCCATTTGGGTGGTGAGATCAATTGATTGGATCACAGCCATCATTTTTAAGCAGGTTTATTGAGATATAATTTACATACTATATAATTCATCCCTTTAAAGTGTACAGTTCAGTGTTTTTCTGTACATTCACAAAGCTTTACAATCATCACCACAATTTAGTTTTAGATCATTTTTATCAGCCTAGAAAGAAACCCATACCCACTCATTCTCCCCACCTACGCTCCCAGTAGCAACCGATAAAATTTACTTTGTATTTCTATCGATTTCTCTATTCTTGACAATTCCTATAAGTGAAATTATGCAGTCTGTGATGTTTTGTGACTGGGCTTCTTTCACTTAGCATAATGGTTTCAAGATTCACCCATGTTGTAGTACTTTACATCAGTACTTTACTCCTTTTTATGGCTGAATAATATTCCATTGTGTGGATATACATTGTGTTTGTATATTCATTCATCGGTTGATGGACATTCGGTTTATCTCTACCTTTTGGCTACTATGAATAATGCTGCTATGAATATTCATGTCCAAGTTTTTGTATGGATGTTCAGTTTCATTTCTCTCAGATATATACCTAGGACTGGAATATTTAGGTCATCTAATAACTCCACATTTAAGATTTTGAGAAACTGCCAAACTATTTTCCAAAGAGAGTGCACCATTTTTCGTTCCCGCTGGTGATGTATAAGGGTACCTATTTCTTCACATTCTCATTTTCAGTGAAAGAATTAAATAGAATAGGAAACTATAAGAAGACCTCACATGAACATAAGCACTGTTTCATAAAAGTCTTTGGGATATACGTCTGAGTTGCAGTGTAATACATATTTCTCACTGTAGGTTGTGATCAACCTTGAAGGGACATATCAGAAACATGTGAAAGGGAGGAGCCTCAAACTCTGACAAGCCTCCTCTTTGTAAGAGTCTCTGCTTTGGGATCCCAACTGTTAATAGGAGCACTGAAACCATCAGTTGGATTGTATTGGGAAAAGAGGAAGTGGGCTCAGTATCTTTCATTCAGGGATTTGGAGGTAACCATATCCTGCTTGGTGTGTTCCGAACATGGCTGTGTGGATGGTCAGGGCGTGCAACACTGCCCTCAGTTTGCTGTTCTCTTTATGGCTCTCTTAGCAGCTCCCAGCACATACTCATTCCTGTGGTGCTGTCGAAGGTCAGATGAGAGTAGGCACTTAAACAGTGCCAGCCCCAGGGACATTCAGTCGCCAGGAGATTTATTATTAACCTAATTATTTTCTTTGTTGTTATTTGGAGGAGGGAGAGGTGGAGTACCAAGAGCAACCTCCACACACAGCCTCTTACATCTGTTTCTCTGCCACATTCCTACCATGCATCAAACTCTGAGAGCAAAGGGAGGAGAAGTATGGTATGACCTGAACCCAGGAGAAGTGTACAGTCTGGCTAGGAAGATGGAATTTGTGCATATGCAACCATTGAAAGAAAATCTAAAACAGAATAAAATGAGGTGGCAAATGTTGGGGCGGGTGTGGGAATACGTGCTATGAGAAGTTGGGAAAAGGAGAGAGTCCCTGGGGAAGGTTTAATGTCACAGGATGGACTTCAAGGACATGCAGACTTTAAACCCACAAATTTAACACTCCTGAGCAAACACATCCCTTCCCCTCACCCCAGAAAAAGCTCTTTCTGGATGTTCTGAATATCTTGGCATTACAGAAAATCCTTGGCTTGTACTAAAAGTAGTAGAAATATAATAACAATTATTGTTAATATGCATCAGTACTTACTCTGTGCATATAGTGTGGCCTGACTTCTTTCACTTGATTCATCCTCACAATTAACTGTAAGAGAGGGTGAGAGGAGGGTACTATTATCATGATTCCCATTTTACAGATGGGGAAACTGTGGTTTAAAGACTTAAGTCACTTACCCAGGCCACACAGACTGCTCAGGGATGAGTCTGGAATTAAGTAGCAGATCTGTCTATCTGACCTCAGGTTCTGTGCTCCTAACCATGACCATGAACTGTGGAGTTGACTGCTAAACTGTCTTGTCTTTGTCTCAGAGATGTGCCTTACATATAAAAGGATTTTTACATATTGATTCTTGTTGGATATTTGCCGATTCTACCTGTTCCTCCTTGGGTCTGGTAAAGCTGTTTTTCATTTGGAGTTTTTAGTGCCTCCTAAATAGTTCTCAAAAGTCTATATGTTTGGGGGTTTGTTTTTGCCTTTGTTTTTTAGATTCCTATAGAAAAGAATGCTTGTTCCTAGATATTTTCATACAGTCTTGAAGAGATTTACATTCATTCGATTTCTAATCAATAACTTATCTATTTCTAGGCTGAAACTGTTGCCAAGAAGCCATTTTTTAAAATCCGTCTTTGTCAGAGAGTTTCCCATAGTCTCTTCACAAGAAAGATTAGTGGTATTTTGAGATCTCTATAAAGTCTATAAACAGAATAATTTCATTATCTAATTGGAACTTACTTTGGCAAAAGCCATCATCTTCCTGTTTGTAAGCTTCCAACCCCTCTGGGTGCTTTTGGAAAACAACATAGAGACTATAACTATGTGGGGAATCCCATGCCCCTTCTGACCCTTGTCTCCAGTATACTCCAGTGACCAAGAAAATGCCTAAAATATGGTCTGGGAGTGGACATCGTGGTCTCTAGAGATGGGTCATCTTGAGATGGTCCTGTCATCAAGCAAGCATATTTCTCTGACTTCTTTTAAAACCTTTTAGAGAAAACTTTGTGGTATCTCACTATTATTCATATGTTTAAAAAGCATTTTTTCACAATGCATTCTGACCCAGTGATTGTGATTCTCAGACTTAGTTAAACTCAATAAGAGAGCTCATGAAGGGCCCACACCTCTAGAGATTTTGACTAGCAACTTCTAGAGACTTCCATACTGGTAGTCCAGTTACCTCACTTTGAGAAATGCTGGCCTCATTTCCTGCTGCTGTCCTTTGTCCACTTCCCTGTCTTAAAATATGCACCTTCAAATATAATTGGAAACCTTAATTCTTTCATCTGCATCCCCTTCTCTACACTGTAGCCCCTAATCATGTTAAGATTGTACTTTTGATAGTTCTTGACTGGGAAAACATATAATGATAAAGAGCCACTATGAATTCAGCAAAGCTTTCAAATTATTTGAGTTGTATCAATTCCTATACACTCGTATGCATTTGAAAAGTGGAAATGTACACACAAGACAGGCTATTTATCTAGAGTGCTGTAGTGCTTGATGTATCCATGGATTCATGGATCCCTTCCTAAAATTCCAAGCTTCCCTTACCTCACCCAGGACATACGGCCTGAGTTTGAAATACTGACCTAGACTAAAAG